TAGAATTTAAATTCTAAATTTATTGGATATTATTTTTTAAAATTGATTGTATAAATTAATTAAATTAAATTTTAAATTTCTCATGTTATCACTTTAACATATGCAAAAGTAATGACAAAAAAGAAAAAACATATGCAAAAGGTCCATTAATAAAATGCTGAATTTTTAGTTCAATAATCATAGTTCTTAAATACAAAAAAAAAAAAAAAACAAAGATATTTAGCTAAAAAACAAGTGATCTATTAATATAGTGTTAAACTATTAATTTCTGTAATCAAAATTCAACTAAGTGATTGTAGACTTAAGTGAAAAATATAAGGGATAAAAACATTTTAAATTAAAGGCGTGTTAAGTTATAAAACACAAGTATTAAAAAAAAAAGAATTTCACATGATCAATATGGCCTCATCTTTTTACCGTTTGACATGTTGGTAATATATTAATAGGTTACAGTAAAACATTTTGTTAAAGTTATTATGATTAATTTTTGGGTTAATTTATGATTCATGTGCTAATTTTAGGTGACATATTAGATCAAAATTTGTTGACATTATAATTAACTTAAATCAAAATATAATTACTAATAGAGCACAAGAATCCACCAAACCTAAAAACTGAGCAAAAATTTAAAATAGAGAAATATAACAATAGTAGAAATTGATCATGGATAAACAAATAAATAAATAATTAAATAATTACTAATAAGATATATGCAAAGTAAAAAGTGACATGTGTGTATGGAAAAGAGTTATATAATATTTCATAGATGAAGTTCATAAATTTTTTTTTAAAAATTAATAAATTAAAATAAAAATTAATAAATTAAAAGATCTCATCACATAATTAAATATATAAAATTTTAAAAATTTTAATAAATTTTGATATATTTATTAAATAAATATTTTTGATAAAATTTTTAATATTAAATAAATATTAATTAAATTTAAATTATAAATAATTTTTTAAATAATTTTTTTTACATATTATTAATTTTTAAATTAAATTTTATTAATCTAATAATTTAAATTTTTATTTCCTTATTTTTAATAAAAAATTTTATAAATTTTACCAGTAAAATTGGAAGTAGATTTTTTTCTGTATGTGGCTGGACGGATATTTGAGATTCTCTCTCACGGTATCCAACAAAGAATAACAACGTACAAAACTTAGCACGCACCTCCACGCCGGTGCATTTTAGCATGTACTACTATTATATTGCTATTATTTATTTTTATGGATTATTTTGTATAATTGATAACATTTTTAAATTTAAATATTATTCTTATAATTTTGTTATTTATCATTTAATTTTTATAATATATCTTAATTTATATGTGATAAATCTTCTAATCTTATAAAATTTAAAAAATAATAATAATGTAGATAAAAATTATATAAAATCCAAAATACTTGTAGTTACAAAAGAAAAAAAAAAAAAAACCCAAATTCTAAAACAGAAACAGGTAGCAGATGGTCCCATACTGCAAAGTGACTGCAAAGCATAGGAGAGGCTAGCAAGGCTATGAGATTGGTAGACTCATGGATGACCGTTGATGATACAGATCTGTGTCTTATGGTAATCGTACGTTCAGTCATCCACCGTTTTCCATTCCTATCACTACTACTGTTTAAGCACCAGTACTTCTGTTGCATCACAGTGTCACCTTAGACTGAAAATTACTTCCTTCTCAGTGTGTCTAAGAGCTGTCAACAACAGTATGTATATATACATGTTGGAAAACAAAAATAATACTTGAAATAAAAAAAATCGAGCCATTTCACTTGAATATTTTAAAAAAAATTTATTATTAATTAAAATTTCAAAATATAGTGGATCTTTTAACAAAAATTCATTATATTTAAGTAAAATTTTATTTTTGGAGAATTTATTTATTTATTTAATTTTGTAATGTCCTTTAATGATTTAATTTGATTTATATATCCATAAATTGACATTTTGTATTTATTTTTTTTAATAAAAATGGTGATTTTTTTTTATTTTGTTGCAAATTTATACATTTGAGAGTTTTTGTATTTTATTATTTAATTTTTCTTGAATATTTTTGAGAAATTTTGTTTATAAAGGTTGTGAGATTTTTTATTTGAGATTTCAAAAGGTTTGAATAAAAATATTTTAATTTTTTGGAGCTTATTGTTAGTTTTATTAAAATGAATTGTTCGATTTTCAACTGAAGTTTATAATTTTATCTAATTGCTAATATATAGTTAAGATTTAATTGATCGAATTTAAATTGATATAGTATTAAATTTAAAATTGAGCTTGAATTTAAATTAAAAATTTAAAACTTAGCTTAAGCTCAAGTTTTATTTTTTTAATTCAAGTTTGATTCGAAATAAAAATAAAAATTATTTAAATTCACTCAATTAAATTCAATTAACATGTAAAAATAAGTTTAATTTTTATATTTGATAAAAATTTAATTATTTATGTTCGAACTTAAGCTCAAATTTAAAATTGAGATACTTTATTAATTAAAATAATTAAAATATATTAAAATATAAAAATTTAATTACACTTATAAATTATTCGAATTAAATATAAGAATAGTTAAATTTAATTTAATCGATAAATCAAGTTATTCGAACTCGAACTCAACTCAATATTAATCAAATTGAATTAAAATTTTATTCGAATCGAATCTGATTAATTTACGAATATTAATATATCATTTATATTTTTATAAACGGACAATTAACCTAGTTTTTATCATTGATTTTAAACATCAAGCGCATTTTAGCAAGGTGGCCCATGTCTGCAAAACTTTAACAGAATACAATTATTATTTTAAATTAAATTAAAAAAAATGGAATTTAAGCCGAAAACCAACAAGGGCAGGACAATCCAAGCACGTGACCTGTCAAAAAAATAAATAAAAAGAAAATCTTGATTTTTCTTGATTTTGCCTATAGATGCCCCTTTCTTCTATTTCTGATCAAAATCCCGTTATCTCTTCCGTCCAATCACCGAATTTTTAACGATCCTTACAAAAGAGTCTCACAAAGAGTAATTTAGAGGAAGGATGAAATTGATTTATAAAATAATAAAAATTATGAGAATGAAAAAATTAAATAAAATTAAATTTTGTAATAATGTGATTAAAATTAATGATAATAATACATATTTAAATTAATTTATTATCCACGTAATGCACAAATTAGTTTTATTTATTTAAATATATTTAGATATATAAATAAAGATTATTTAATCATTTAAATGTTAAATATATAAATTAAAAATAATATAATTAAGATATTAAAATATAATAAAATTATAATTTTTTAATTAAAAAATTAAAAAATTCAAAATACAGAACAATAGTTGAGAAAAAAATAAAATATCCAAAAGATTTATATATAAATAGTATTATCAAATACACTAACAAAATATTAAATTGAAAACAAAAAAATTCATCACTTCTAATTAACTTTCTTTAATTTGAGCAATTTTCATCTTGTTGATCATTTTTATACACTTGTTAATTTATAAAATTTTAAGATAAATTTTATTTATTTGAAAAAATAATAATTTTAAATGTTTAAATAATATATGATAACTTATTTGTATGTATATTTTTTGCATGAATTTTAATAATATATTGATCTTCCACATTTATAAGATTTGTCAAATTAATTTTTATATTTGTTTTAAACTTTACATTTGATGCAAAATTATGTTACTGTAAAAATTGAAATAAAATATTTTTAAATTTTAAGTAATAAAATTAAATTTTAAATAATAATTTTAAAAATTTGTAGTAAAAAGATTTTAATGAGAATGTGTCAATTCTCGTTCACAAGATTTTATAATCAATTTCAAAGGTGAAAAAAATTGGTTTTTGCTTTTACTACTTACGTTTCGTTTTTTTTAAAAAAATCAATAATACTATAAAATAATTAGTGCATCTGACAAATTAAAATACCATTTTTTACAAGCATAAATGTTAAAAAAGAGGGAAATAGAATCAACGTTGAGAGTATCATTAAATAATAAATTATGATCTTCTAATATGTGATATGTGATTTTTTTTAATTTAAAAATAATTAAACAATAAATGATTGTTATGAAATCTCTAAAAATAAAAATTATATTTTAACATTTCAAATTTAAATGACATATATTTAAATTATTAAGAAATTCATTTTATAATATCATTACATTTGAGATTTTTAAGTTTAAAAAAGATATATATTTACAATATTATGAAACTTATTTTAAAAGATAATATAACATTATATTTGAAAATTTTAAATTGAAAAAATATATATTTAAATTATTTGGAAATACGTTTTGTAAAACATAATATATTTAAATTAAATTTTATTGCTAGCAATTTAAAAATAATCAAATTGGTTTTTACTTAAATTTGAAAGGTTTAGGTAATTAGATAATTTTTAAATATATATATATTTTGATAAATATCTTAAAATTAAAAAAATGTCATTATTGAAAGAAAAATTTTAGAAAATTTCCCATTTGTTGAAAAGAGAAAGCATCAATCTAAATATCCATGTAAGCAAAATTTATCAAATTTATATATATATATTATAATATAATATTATATATCATGTTTATAAATGTAAATTATAATATAATATTATATATAATGCAAATATAAGAATTAAAATAAAAATAAATATGACAGTATCATAATTAAAAATATTTTTACTTTCATTCTTACAATAATTTTAAGATTCAGTAAACCGCCATATCCTTTCCATGCAAAGAAGACATTAGGAAGTCACTAAAGTCAATTACACATGCAAATACATACCACCACAACACAATTAATAAAAAATGCCTGAATTCCATCTGCGAATACAAACTAACCCATAAATCCATAAAATAAAAAAAAAATTACAGTACTTAAGATAAATTTTTAATTTTCACTGTTTTTAAAAAAGAAAAAACACTGGAGGAAAACAGTGTTTTTTGTTACGGTGTCTGCATCTGAATGTGTGTCGACTTTGGCCTTTTGTTTTAGTCTCTGCGTGTTTGGTACTTTCCTTCTTTCATTGATCTTTTTGCTTTGCGTTTTAAAGGGGATTAAAAAAGTGAAAGCAAAAGGAAAAAAAGGGTTGCTACAAGATAATAGTGATGGAATCAATAGTGAAGAGCAAGGCAGAGCTAGAAACCAAGAGCAAAACCACATGGAATTTGTGGGGATCAACCAAAACATATAGAAATCAAACACCAGCATTCTCAAATCTCTAGGATCTCAGAATTTCAGGAAAAAAATGGTTGCTTGTTTCTCGAGAAAATTCTCCTTTATTAGTTCTTTGTCTTAGCTCATTTGGTGCTCATTCTACTACTTACCTTTTGATTCATATTTTCTCCATCTGGGCTTCAGTCATTAGCAAGATAAAAGCCTTTTTAGCATCTGGATATTGATCAAGAAGCAGTTTTTATTTTGCTTTTGAAGTGAACAGGTTAGAAAGAAAGAAAATTAAAGGAAGTTCCTTTAAAGGGTAATGGTGGGTTCAGCTTACGTGGTTCTGATTCTGAAAGGACATCTTTTGCTTGGATAAGGCGAAGAGAGAGACTTTAGCTTCACGTGAAGAATGGCTGGTCATGATTGTGCTGATCAGAGGGCATTGGTTTTTCAGAGAAAGTAGAATTTGAATGAGCTGAGAGATTGTAGAGTTTTGACAGTATGGAAATAAAGAGTTTGATGCTATTTAGACAGGGGCTACTGGTTTTGGCATTGATGGGTATTTCCTCAGCTACTCTTTCTCCTACTGGTATAAACTATGAAGGTTAGTTTCTTTTGAAAGTTTTCCCTTTACTAGTGAAAAGTTTTTGTTTTTGTCATCTGCCTGTAAACTTGAAATTCGAGGCTTCTTTCTTTCTTTTTTTTTTTTTAATTCTTCTGTTTGTTATTTCTCAAGTAGTGTAGTGAAATTCATTAATCGGTTTTCTTAGAATTGATAGTTTCTAATTTCATGGATTTTTTTTTGTTTTTTTAAAGAAAATGTTTTGATGGACTGCAAGAATGTGTGAACGGCCCTGTGCCGACATACCAGTATAACCACGTTGTGACACATTTGCTGTTTAAGTCTTTTGTAATCGGACAGCTCTGGCTTCAAAATCCTTGTTCTCGAAAGTTTTACCGCAATTTCACTTAATAAGGCTTTCCCTCTGCAATTAATTTTTGAGCAGTGGTTGCTTTAACGGCCATTAAATTTAATCTACACGACCCGTATAATGTTCTGGAGAATTGGGATTCGAATTCTGTTGATCCATGTAGTTGGAGGATGGTTACTTGCACTCCAGATGGCTATGTTTCTGCTTTGTAAGTTTTCTTCCCTTCATAACTAACTTATCTTGTGACAGATGCTGTTATTAGAAAATAAACTGAGAAAATAATGTAAACTACTTTTTTCACTTGAATAGGGGGCTTCCTAGTCAAAGCTTATCTGGGACCTTATCTCCATCAATTGGGAACCTTAGCTACTTACAGTCAGTGTAAGTTATTGCCTCTTTGTAAACTGTAACTACAGTTGCATATAATTTTAACAAATTTTAATCCATGTAATGTTGGGCTGTCCTCATTTTGCTACCCGAAGTTCCTGCATTTTCATGAAGTTATTACATGGGTGTTCGTTTTTCTTGTAGGTTGCTTCAGAATAATGCTATTTCAGGTCCAATTCCAGCTACCATTGGAAAGTTAGAGAAGCTCGAGACTCTTGATCTTTCCAACAATACTTTCAGTGGTGAAATACCCACCTCCTTGGGAGACCTGAAGAACCTAAACTATTTGTAAGTTTCAAAACTTTTACTGCATTTGCATCTTGAAGCGCCTGTGAGTTTCTTTCTAGTGGTTCTATTTCTTATAAGTTTTTTATTTTTTATTTATTTATTTTTTATGCCTGCTGTACATATGCAGGCGGTTAAACAACAATAGCCTAACTGGAGCCTGCCCAGATTCTTTGTCAAACATTGGTGGTCTCACTCTTGTGTATGTATCTGGACTTCTGTACCTTGTATTTTAATGTTCTTGGAATGGCTATTTGAAAAACCTTAAATCTAGACAATATCTTGGTACATTATTCTGCATGTATTTCACTCACCCATTGTGTATAAAACCTGTAACAGGGACCTGTCTTATAATAATCTGAGTGGTTCTCTGCCAAAAATATCAGCAAGGACTTTCAAGTGAGCTATACTTTTCTTTGTTCCATATATACTTATAATGCATGTTATTATGGTTTATTAGTTATGGTTCCCTTTTTACTTTCAGAGTTATTGGCAACCCTTTAATTTGTGGACCTAAAGCAGGCAACAACTGTTCTGCTGTCTTTCCAGAGCCTCTTTCTCTTCCTCCAGATGGTCTAAAAGGTGACTATCACTGTGTTATAGAGACCGTTTCTTTTTTATATTTTGAAATTACTCTTCTGCATTACAGTTTGATTACATGTTTGAATATATGGATCTTTGATTTCTTAGCTCAACCAGATTCTGGATCAAAAGGCCATCGTGTAGCTGTTGCTTTTGGTGCTAGCTTTGGTGCTGCTTTTTTCATCATACTGTTTATAGGATTACTTGTTTGGTGGCGATATAGATTCAACCAGCAGATTTTCTTTGATGTTAATGGTTAGCTTCTTAAACTTTCCTGATCTTATTGTTATGTATTTTAAATTTTGTATTCTTATCAGCAATACCATCAAACAAGTTTTCTGCATCCATAAATATGGGAAATTGATACCTGCAATGTTATATTAACATTCATCATTGGCAAGGGTTCCTAATTCACATGTATAAACTGCTGCCAGGAAATTATTGGTGCATCTGTGCTATGATTATTGCTATTGGTTTTTAGGAGCTCTGCATGCAGAGGCACAAAAGTTTCTTGGCATGTTGCATTATCTTTCATCAAAAAAGTTTTGTAGTAGTGAAAAACTTTTGCTTCAGTCTTCCCATTCATTGTCCACGTCTTCATGTTTTCTCTGAAATCTCACCAAAATCAATAAATTATGTGGTAATATAGTTGATATTCTTTGCTTTATTTGCAATGAAATGTGTTTTTAGACAAATTATGGTTTTTGATATGTGTTAAGCCATGCAAGTTCTTGTAATTACTTTTTTTTCAAAGCTTTTGATGTACAGTGTGTCCTAGAAGGGTTATTTGCAGATATATGAAGTTAAAGCTTCATCATTTAATTTTGATGAATGTACTTGGTAAGATGAGAAAAAGATAATTTGAATGCATCAAGAGAGGTAGACATGAATTTTTTAGAAGCACAATTGTGCAATTTGTATCCTATCTTGTTGGATTCATGATGAATAATTTTTTCCTTTGTTTTATTTCTCTGCTATCCTCTAATTCCTGGCCCTTACATGTTTAATGGCAGAACAATATGACCCGGAAGTATGCTTGGGCCATTTGAAAAGGTATGCATTTAGGGAGCTTAGGGCTGCTACTGATCATTTCAACTCAAAAAATATTCTTGGGAGAGGTGGATTTGGGATAGTGTACAAGGGATGCTTGAATGACGGGACTTTGGTGGCTGTTAAAAGGTTGAAGGACTACAATATAGCCGGTGGTGAAATCCAATTTCAGACAGAAGTAGCGACAATAAGCTTAGCTGTCCATCGCAATCTTCTCAGGCTTTCTGGATTCTGCACGACTGAGAATGAAAGGCTCCTGGTTTACCCCTATATGCCAAATGGAAGTGTAGCATTTAGACTAAGAGGTTAGTTGACTGAAGTTCAGTAGTAATGATTCCTATTTTTATTCAGAATCTTCATATACGCTACTAGGTTCATCAAAAGCTATGGCTGGCAGCATCAGGGCATTGCTGTCACCTTCAGAACTGCTGTTTTCGAGTCACTATAACAGCCACTGGTGCCATATTGCACTTCTGTGGTACTTCTTGAAACTGTGTTTATGCTATGTCTATCTTTGGGCAGCATATAGATTTGGGTGATAATTAGCCCATCTTAATTTTAACTCTGCCATATAGAGTTTTGGTATGATCTTCACGGGGAAATAATTTTAAATTTCCATGGATCATATATACTGTTATATATCACTATTGTAGTTGACCCTGCATAACCATATATCTCTCCTTAAAATAGGTCCATAACTAAACACGATCATCCCATGGATAAACTTTGATCGCAAGTCATTTTCAGGGAATAGAATTTAAAAACCAATCTTGTAACATAAAATGCTGACGCTTTCAACCACTGTAAATCATCTCTCCTGTACTTGTTAACAGTTTGAACCATTTTGGTTTTTCTTTCTGCATTTATAATTTTTTGTAAGAGTTATTCAATTTTAAAATTAAATGAAGATCCAAATCCTTATTTTTAGTTACTATCTGAAGCGATAAATCTTGCTAGAACTTGGCATCTATACCATAATAATATTTTTTTTTCCAATTTGGTATCAGATCACATTCATGGTCGGCCAGCTTTAGACTGGACTAGGCGGAAGAGGATAGCCTTAGGTACAGCTAGGGGGCTTGTATATTTGCATGAACAGTGTGACCCAAAAATTATTCATCGTGATGTTAAAGCTGCCAACATTTTGTTGGACGAAGACTTTGAGGCAGTTGTTGGAGATTTTGGGTTGGCAAAGCTCTTAGACCACCGAGATTCTCATGTTACTACGGCAGTTCGTGGTACTGTTGGTCACATTGCTCCCGAGTATTTATCAACTGGTCAGTCATCAGAAAAGACAGATGTATTTGGGTTTGGGATCCTGCTCCTTGAGCTAATCACAGGTCAGAAAGCCTTGGATTTTGGACGAGCTGCAAACCAGAAGGGTGTAATGCTCGATTGGGTACTCTCTTTCTGTTTGCTTGCAGAGTTTTGTTAAACTGTACATTTTTGGTGCATGGAGGAATACATGCAATTAAAACGTAAATTGATAGATTTCTTGGCATTTAAGAATGTTGCATGTGTAGCGCAAATGATGCATTTAACTGCATAAATGATGTGCGTCTTTCTTTCCCTTCTTTTTGTTCACTATAAGAATATTCCTCATAACATTGGAGTAAAATATATAATTAAGATGATTGTTAACCACAGTCTTGCATGAGATTCCATCCATGCATGCAACCTTACTGAACTTTCTGTTGTTTACCACCTAAAGCCAAGAGGACTATATTTCCGCATTTTTTTCCCTCCACCACCTACCGCATATCTTTCTTCTTTTAAGAGAAATGTTCTCTTAACTGGTTGACCCTCTTGCAGGTAAAGAAGCTGCATCAGGAAGGTAATCTTAGCCTGCTGGTGGATAAGGACCTAAAAGGCAATTATGACAGAACTGAGTTAGAAGAAATGGTTCAAGTTGCCCTTTTATGCACTCAATTTAATCCTTTACACCGACCAAGAATGTCTGAGGTATTAAGGATGCTAGAAGGTGATGATTTAGCAGAGAAATGGGAGGCCTTACAAAAGGTTGAGACACCAAGGTTCCGCCCATGTGATAACCCTCCTCAAAGATACTCTGATTTTATAGAAGAATCTTCACTTGTGGTAGAAGCCATGGAGCTTTCTGGTCCTAGGTGACAAAATGTATGCCTTGAAACTTTGGTGCCTACTCAATTGCAGAGCTCTGAAATGCGAAAAATATGTGATTGGTGTTCACATTTGTCGAATGCTTGTATTCATCTGTAAAAAGCAAGAAAAAAAAGAAGAGGGAAGTAATGGATAAGCTTCTTGTTCTTCACTAGAAGAAGAGTTGAGCTTCTGTCAAGAAATTTTGTTAAATTATTAAGAAATATGTAGCATGTAGTTTCTCCATCTGCACTTGCGGTTGGTCTTCCTCCCTTATCAATCTGATAGCATGCATTTTACAATAGGTATAGTTTCTGAATTAATGAAATATTAAATGTGATATTTAAATTAAAAAGTTTTTAATGTAATATTTGAATTTTAAATTTATTAATTAATAATATGATTAAAGTGAAATTTACCCAAATAAAAAGAACAAGCTAAAATGACTCATTTTACATGGATCAATTCAAAGAACCAAATTTATCATCCATCCCACGGATCAACTATTCTTTGGTGTAAAAGAAACTTAATACTCAGCTTGAACAAAACAAATGGTCATCAATAATATTCTTTAGTACAATATCCAGGAGCTAAAGGTTCTATTTTTCAAGAACCGAAATGTTGAACTGCTAGTCTACTATGTTACTACTGTTTACTTTCAAATACAAAACAAGCTATGAAGAAGACAGAAAAAGTATGGCCTTTTTTTTTTACTTCAAACTTGCATTACTAAAAAATAATACATAAAACATCTGTCAATTTTGAGGTTAAGCTCAAATCCCACGTTGGAATTTACTGCCAACTGCCAAAGGAAAAAAAACCACAAGCTTATACAATTCCACACACTTCCACGACTTGGTTATCATCCTTTCAACAAAAAAGAAAAAAAAAAAGACATTTTGAGACAGAAAACCATGTCTACATCGTCCCTCACCTCACTTTCGGTGACTGATTGATTCCATCCGTCGGCAGGTTTTAGCTGTAAATCTTGATTCTACCATAGTTTTAGCCGTGCGCAAATAAAATTTTCATGGGTCAACTGAGTTTGTGTTTTTCGCTATGCATTATTTTTTAAGTGGGCTTGTTTTAATTTTTTTTAAGAAAAAGTGGGCTTGTTTTAACCACAACCTTACGGCTTGGTTCAGGGTGTGGGTTACCTTGTAATTTGGCATATCTAATCTCTATTAAGCCAGCCAGGTTGGCCTTTATTGGTGCTCCCATTAGTCTTTTTCTTTTTTATCAACCCAATTTCACAACTTACAACACCCTAAAAATATTCTCAAGATTCATCCATCATCATACATTGTTGATCTCTCAATTTTTTTATAAAATTTCTTAATTCTTTCTTTCTTTTTTAAATCTTAATTGTTTTTAACAAAAGGAAGCCCTAGTATAGAATAAGAAAAAAATTATATATGTTAAAATTTAAACTTTAAATTTATTGAATGTTATATTTTAAGAGTGATTATATAAATGAATTACATTAACTCTTGAATTCATCTTAATTGTTTTTTTCTTGAAAGATAAGTTCATTGATTCATATACAAATGCTTTCAGCAAGTATTATATCAGAAATAAAGCTCGGACACTTATTAATCCATTGCATTTCCTCTGTTGGTGCTGTAATTGCGTGCTTTGCCAATCTAAGTGTAGCTCCATTTGCCTCCCTTTTTGTATGAAGGGCAGAGAAATGAGTAAAACTTTACCTTAATGTCTTTGTATCCTGGATGAGTTCTCCAATCATCGACAAGCTCTTCTCTTTAGACATAATCTGGTTCACCACCTTAAGAGCATCTCTTTCTATTATAATGGACTATATGTTGAGAAAAACAACACCTACACGCAGAACCCACACATAAAATAGCAAGCTCAAATCAAGAATAAAAATACACAAATATATTTGGTTCAGTCCAACTCAAAATAGCCTACTCCAAACACAATCCACTAACAAATAAATCTTTACAACCGTGAGATTTTTAGAATGAAAAAAGTCTCCTAAAACTCTTTACTCAAAATTTAACCCAAAACTCAATTACACTCTTTAATAACCTACTCACTTAGTTATTCTCTTGGTGTCTAACTCTCTGAGATTACCAAACTAAAAACAAAATACCTTATTTATAAGGGTGAAACCCCTTATACTTTTAATAAACTCTCGATGTGGGATACTGGAAAAATTCAAAACTCACTAACTTTCGATGTGAGATTATGAGATTCAAGGCAAATCCCAACAAATCTTCCATTGACTTGAATCTCCAAACACTTCAACAATATCTACAAAAGCTAACATGCTTACCTTTATTCTTTTATTTCATCATAGGGATCCCAGTAATTGAGCTTTTATTAAGCATGTACAAGTGATTTTTGATCCTATTCTCTTGTAGAATCACACTACTATTCTTGTACACTTTCAACCAATCATTACTATCATAATATGTGTACCCTCGAGAAGCTACCTCACCTAAAGCAATCAAATTGTAGTGACAACTTGATACATACCTTACATGACGAAGTGTCCTAATAATACCATTATGAGATCTAAGGCGAACACTCATAATGCCTTGAATCTGTACCTTTTTTTTGTTAGCAACCACAATATCCCCATACTTTTCATTTTCATCCAACTCCACAAAGTAACTCCTATCATTGCAAACATGAATTGTAGCAGCTGAATCTAAAACCCAACCTTTATCACATTTCAAAGTTTGAGTCTCATCAACACAAGTTGTCAAAACAACATCATCATCATCATCAGACACGACAGCAGCAGCATCACTCTTTTCTTCATCTTATTTCTTCTCATCATTCGTCCTTTTAAAAGTAGCCATATCCCCTTCTCAGCTTCCTGTAGCGCACTTGGATATGTCCCTTCTTAACACAATAATAACATTCTATATCACTGTAATCTCTGTCTCTTGACTTGGATCTCCCTCTTGACCCATCAATTTTCTTTTGAGTCTTCACTCAATCAAAACCCTCTACAGCTAGTGTACTCCCCCCAGGTGAGAGCAACATAGAAGCTCGTTTATTCCTACAAAGTTATTTGTATTTTCAATTTGGATGGGAAGATGATCTTTTCGATGAAAAAATAATAAAAAATATCAAAGCATATTCTTTCATGCTTGGCCTGATAAATATGAATGAAACTTTTCTATACTCTGTTAGAAGAAGAGGAACGAATCTGGATATTTTGATGGATTCGGATAAGTTAATTTTAACTTATCAATACGTACTCAAAAAAAGAGTATTGATTATCGAACCAATTCGTCGGTATGTAGAAATTGATGGATAATTTATTCTATATCAAACTATAAGTATTTCATTGGTTCATAAAAATAAACATGAAATTAATCAAAGACGCAGTTTTGAGCTCCCATAAACCTTTCATTCTCATGCAATAGGGTAGTCACATCATCCAACTTCAAAGTAGACCTGCCCACCAATATAGTCTGAACTAAAGGCCTATAAGACTTGGGCAAAGATGATAGCAAAATTAAAGCCTTCTCTTCATCTTTTAGCTTATCAACAGAAATTGTTAGCAATTGAGAAACTAATCTATTAAACTCATTTAGGTGATTATGAAGACTCATACCTTCTTTCATTTTCAGAGAATACAGATCCATCTTCAAACATAATCTATTCGTCAATGACTTCAAAGCATAAATAACTTCAAGCTTATCCTACAAACTTTTTGGAGTACTCTCAGTCAACACACTATACTTTACTTCTGGAGCTAACGTCAATCTAATAGTACTAACAGCATTCTTTTGAATCCTATTCTAATTAGCATTAGACATTCCCTGAAGCTTACTACACTTACTACTCTCTAATGCTTGATCCAACCCTTATTGTACTAACAGATCTTGAATCGTACTTTGCCATAACATAAAATTACTCTTTCCATCAAATAACGGAATCTCAAACTTAGGCATAAGCATACCAGACATACCTTCTTCAGATATCTTTAAACACTGCTTTACGATCTCTTAAGTTCATGAACCTTAAACCTCAAACCTCGCTCTGATACCATTGGAAAAAATACACCTACACGCAGAATCCACACACAAAATAGCAGGCTCAAATCAAGAATAAGAACATAAAAATATATTTGGTTCGGCCCAACTTAAAATGACCTACTCTAAATACAATCCACTAACAAATAAATCTTTACAACTGTGAGACTTTTAGAATGAGAAAAATCTCATAAAACTCCTTACTCAAAACTTAACTCAAAACCCAATTATATCTTTTAATAACTTAGTCACTTAGTTATTCTTTTGGTGTCTAACTCTATGAGATTATCAAACTAAAAACAAAATACCTTATTTATAAGGACGAAACCTCTTATACTTTTACTAAACTCCTGATATGGGATACTAGATAAATTCAAAACTCACTAACTTTCGATGTGGGATTATGAGATTCAAGACAAATCCTAACACTATAATCCCTGGAAAACATAATTGCTGTGTTCATGGCTAACGCCTCTGCAACACCTGGATCTCTAACCTGCTTAACTCTGTTTGAGCATGCCCTTAACACCTTACCCGTAGCATCCCTTAATATAACACCAATTCCACATACACATTCTTTCATTCGAACTACTCCATCAAAATTCACCTTAGCATAGCCTTCTTCTGGGACTCTCGATTTTATAGTTTCCTGTGTAATTTGCAATCTGGAACGTACTTGAGCTACTCTGTATTCTTCCAAAAATTTCCTAGCATATGTTATTGTTTCATCAACTGTTTTTCTAGTTCTGTTTTTCACCTCCACGTTCCTGTTGTGCCATAACAACCAGTATATGGTTAGTCCTAACTCCACGCTGTTTCGGTCCCCTTTCTCCCACATGTTACTCAGCTATCCCTTTTCACATTCAAAAGCTGTATTAGACCATTCATCCCCCCCATTTTCACATTCAGTTTTCCATCCCACATGTTACATCGTTTGATCACATGTATAATTGTTTCTTCTTATTAGCCACATCTTGGGCATATCTCATGGACCACTATTCCCCTCTTCTTTAGGTTATTAAACACTGGTAATATCCCAGCATTTAGACGCCAACCAAAAATTTTAATTTTTGGAGGTATATTAAGCTGCCATAGGTGTTCCCAGAAACCATTGCTATTGCCATCATTTGTCCCATTCTCAGCTATCCTGGTGAGAAGTCTATATGCACTCTTTACCGTGAATTCACCCTTCCTTTCTAGCCCCCATGCGAGCTGGTCTTCCCTGCTCGCACGTCCCAGAGGTATACAACATATCATCTTCGTATCTTCGCTGGAAAACAGTTGTTGCACCTCTTTCTCCTTCCACCTCCGATCCTTCGGGTTAATTAGATCTGACACTTGGCTATATCTTATATCTCTTTACCATCTCTATATGGTGTTATTTTTGTACCAGGTTTCACCCATGCATCGATCCAAATCCAGATTGTGTTTCCGTTTCCCACCCTCCATTGTAATCCCATTTTCAGTACCTTGTTTGCCTCCGATGCACTACGCCATGTAAGTGAAGGATTCACACTCAAATCAGACTCCATAAAAATGGAATTGGGAAAGTACTTTGCCTTAAGCACCTTATGAACCAATAACCACGGCTTCCTTAGAATTCTCCAGTCTTGTTTGCCCACTAGTGACACATTGAACTTTGCCGCATCTTGAAAGCCCCTTCCTCCACCGGCTTTACTTTGACATAGTTTCCCCCATTTGATTCAATGAATCCCTCGTCTTTCTGGTTTTGATCTTCACCAAAACTTGCTCACAATGCTATTGATTTCATCACATCGTCCTTTCGGTAAAAGGAAACAGCTTATAGCATACATTGGCACGGCTTGGAGGATTGCTTTTATGTATACTTCTTTCCCACCTTTTGATAGCATTCTTCTACTCAGCCTTGTGTCAAACCCTTTAGCCTATTAATTGTTTCTCTGAACGCCATTTTCTTTCCTCTACCCAACATAGTAGGCACACCAAATATTTCTCTGAATTCGTTGTCACTTAGATTCCAAAAATGTGTTTCACCCCTTCCCTGCAATCTTCTGATATGTTTTTGCTGAAAAATAAAGAGGTCTTATCATAGTTTATCTGTTGCCCCAAACTTTATTTATATCACCGTAGCACGTGCCTCAGGCTCATGCATTCCATTAGACTTGCTTTCATGAATAACAAGCTGTCATATGCAAAAAAAAGGCAAGTAATCCAGGGTCCATTTTGGCTAGCTCTCACACTAGTTATCCATCCTTTAGTTTGATATGTCTTTAGCATGGATGAAAATCCTTCAGTACGTAAGAGAAATAAATAAGGCGAAAATGGGTCAGCTTGGCGAAGAACCCTTTCTGGGTTAAAACTGTCAGTGACAATGCCATTAAGGACTATAGAATAAGACATTGAAGCTATACATTTCATGATCTTATCTATCCATTATGCAGCAAAACCCATTTTTCTCATTACAGCCTCTAGAAAGACCCATTTAACTCTATTGTAGGCTTTGCTCATATCTAATTTTAAGGCCACAGACCCATCCTTACCTTATTTTTTTGTGTTTTAGAGCATGGATTAGTTCATAGGCAACCGGCACATTGTCAGTAATCAAACAACCAGGGACAAATGCACCCTAGGATTCATTTATACACCTAGACAGAACCTTCTTAAGCCTATTAGCCAAAGTTTTTAAAATGATCTTATATATTGCATAACCTAATAGGTCAGAAATTGGCCATGGTTCTAGGATTCTTTATTTTGGGGATCAAAACTATATTAGTATTATTAACGTCACAAATCCTCTCTTTTCCATTAAGACAATTTAAACAAAAATTAACAACATCTTTCTCAACAATATGCCAATATTTTTGGAAAAACAAAGTGGGCATACCATCAGGTCCTAAAGCTTTCATCGGATGCATTTGTTTGATTGCTCTGTGAATCTCCTTGGCCTGGAATTCTGCTTAGAGAAAATCATCCATCTCATCTGTAACTTGAGCCTCTATCCGTTGAAGGGATCTCATCAAACATTGTTGGTCTTTGGGACTAAAACAAATTCTAAAAATAGCCGGAAGCTATATTTTCCATCTTGGTTTCGTCCCCTCACTATCTCCCATTTTCATCCTCTAATCCTTTTATGAGATTATTTCTTTTTTTACGGGACACTTGAGCATGAAAATGAGCTCTATTTTTGTCCCCATCTTTAACCCAACTCATTCTCGATCTATGTTATCAGAACAATTCCTCCTTCTCCATAAGATCATATATAGCCGCTCGCAGCTCCTTCTCTCTTCTAACATTTTCCTCATTTGGATGCTGCTTTTTAATGTTCTCGTATTTTGTGCTCAACTCCTTGATTTGCATGTGGAAGTGGTGAACATAGCTTTGTTCCACGTGCCAAGATGTTGCTTCACAATAGCCAACTTTTCATGCTGACATCCCCTTGTCCCACTATTCCAGCTATTGCTTATAATGTCATCACAATCCTCCTCTTTGGGCCACATCGATTCAAAATAGAACCTTCTTCTCCTTCGCCCCTTAAGCCTGTTTAATTTGCATCCTTCTGTGTCCACCAAAATCGGATTATGTTCAAATACGACGATTGGGTTATTAGTAAACGAAAACCTTGGAAATAAATATTTCCACTCCCTGTTTCCCAGTGCTCTATCTAGTCGCTTCCTTATAATCCGATTGGGATCTCTCCCCCTTTCCCATGTGTACCAAAGTCCCATGCATCCCAGATCTTCTAGCTCCACATCTTCTATTGCATTTCGAAAATTCTTCATATGCCATACTGTTCTTATAGCTTCACCTCATTTTTTCGAGTACCACATTATCTTGTTGAAATCTCTAAAGCACATCTGTGGGTCCTGTGACAAACCAACTAGCTTCCTCATTAGTTCCCACAACTTATATCTCAAGCTTGTATTTGGCTCTCCAGAAAACCCAATCAGTTGCCATTGTTGATTCTCATTGTCCACCACTTCCATATCTATGTGATATTTTGAAAAACTAGCAAGGCTCAATGTAATACCATCCTTCTATAGCAAAGCCAACCCTCCACTCCTACCTACTACATTGACACCCAATCCAGAATTGATGTTGCATTTCTTTTTAATTCTGTCCAACACTTTTGTAGGTACTAATGTCTCGCTCAGAAATACAACATCGAGATCTTCTCTCTTCAAAAGTCTTTGGATAGAGCGAATTATTTGTGGGTTCCCAAACCGACGACGGTTCCAAGTTATACACTTCATGGTTATCGGCTAGACTTGTATCCAGTCTTCGCCGTTAGAAGATCTTCATTTTGGAAAGGTTTTTCTTCATTGTTGACTCTTGCCACATTTGCTTCTCTTTCTGATTCTCCTTTGTCTATTCCAATTTGCTTCCTTTTACCTAGGTCAACTCCTACTGTTCTCTGGGAGCCAGCACTGGTTCGTGCCATTTTCTTCCACTTGATCTTTTCATTTGTTTGTTTCTTGCCATTCCCAGTTAGATCCTTCTCCTTATTATTTTCTTGAGCACTTGATTTGATGATGCTTTCATTTATCCTTGCTTGTCCCGCGTCACTTTCCATTTTAGCAACGGTGCTTTTCCCCACGTCATCATCTACGTGCCCATGCGATGTACATGCACCCTCTATGGTTTCACATGGTAACTGCACTCCCTTATTAAAACTCCATTGGCCCACTTTTGTTACTCCAATTTCCACTGATTTCCCATTTGAAGTTCCCATATTAGATCCCAAATCTTCCTTGCCACCTTTCATCCCTATTTGGGTTGGCTCCATAATCCGCTCCCAATCCCGGGTTTCATGCTTCTCATCTCCCCTTTGATTTTTCGTGATTTCAGCCCTCATTTTTCCTTTTTCCATTCTTGCCCTTTGTTCATCATCCACGCTCACCCCTATCGATGCTGTCGTATCCCACTCCCTTCCACCAGTTTCTGATGACCGAACAAGTTGAGCTTTCATTCTCAAACTTTTGACATTGAACGGGTTAGCATTGCCATTGAAGCCCTTCCTTTTCACTGGGGAAGCCCTCATCCATTCCCAATATTGTTGCACCTGATTTCCCATAGTGTTATCATCATCATGGCAGTCTACCTTTACATGTCCCAACCTGCCACATTTATAACAGAAAGATGGTAGTTTTTCATACTTCAGCTTCCCCCACACGTCCTTCCTTTTCCATCCCCGAGCTTCACAAACCTCCTCAATGGCTTTGTAATATTAGAAGTTGCTAAACATTTTTAAATGATCATTTCGGGGGACACAACAGGTGAATGTAACATGGGGTAAGCCATTTCATGCAAATTTTTATATGATCTTAATTTTTTGATTTTTTTTATTAAAATATATTATAAAAATTAAGAATGGTTTAAATTGTTTATATTAAAAAGTCTTTAATTAATTAAAAATTATAAGTAAATATAATTATTACAAAATATTAAATTAATTTCTTTTCTAGTTTTCTAGGATAAAAGAAGAAAATATTTCATTAATTAACAATGCAATCAATTATTAAGTAAAATAATATATTTAGTTATTATGGTAATAATCCTTATTATTCACTTATTACTATTTTCATAGAAATATTTTAATTTTAATAGCGAATCCAATGTCATGTAGCCAGAATTGTAATTTTCAAAAAAATAGAAGTAATTGATCAGAAATTTTTTTTAATAAATTTGTATTTTATTATTCAATAAGTAGTGAATTCACTGCTACAAGTAAACTATACAAACAATCAACATACAATTAAAACAAGTATTACTTTACAAATATATCTCTACTTTGCCCCCATCTCTTATATATCTCCTTATGTACTTGATCAAAAGCAATGTTACTTAGTCCTGCCAATCTAAATTTGACCGTTTTCATGATTTGTCTCAAGACTTGTTTTTTTGTGCACTCCTCGTTTTTAAACTGCCTCTTGTTCATTTTCCTTCATATTTGATAAATGTATGCACTCTAAGCTAGCCTCATTAGGATTGAAAGCAAAGCCTTCCCTTTTAACCTTTTGATTGCCCATTGGAGTTCCTCCTCCCAACCATCAACCTCCCTTCGCAGGTTCCATAGCCTTAGCCTTGCTGCCAAACACCTTTTGAATAGTTGCAACTAAAGAAGATATGTTTGCCTCTTGTTTACACAACACACACTTTCCACCAATGTTCATTTCTCATGAGCTCAATCTATCCTTAATAAGTAGTCTATTAAGGATAGCTAGCCAAGCAAAAATAGCACACTTGGGAATGTGAAGTTTGCATTAGATGAGCTTGTACCACACTACTTTTACCTGTTTAGACCGAAATTCATCCTAGATTGTTGCAATAGAAAAGCATGTTCCCTAGTATTCCATACCACCCATTCCTAAGTTTACACCAAGAGCCTTGAAGCAAGATTTCTTATCCGCAATAGCTTTTTCCTACTTTAGCTACTACTGATTTGTTGATATCTCCCATAAGCTTCGTCCTTCAACATATAGTTGTGCACCTATGCAATCCATACTGAACCAGCCTACAAGAATATGGCCTATAGGTGTTTTAACATGAAAGCTGGGTTCCACGTTAGCAGATCTTTTGGCCCTAATCCTCCCTTCGATTTTGGATAACATATAGTCTACCATTTAACTCTAGTTTCTTTTTTTGCGTTAGTCTGCCCTTTCCAAAAATAGCTTGAGCATAATTGTATTACCTTTTTTATGACCTTTTGAGGGAGTAAGAAGTGTTTGCTCTAATAATTATGAATGTTGAAAATAACAGACTGAATCAACTGTAGTCTTCCAGCGTGGGATAGGTGTCTAGCCATCTAGCTATTTATCCGTGCTATAATTCTCTCAATCAGCGGGATACAATCCTTCATAGATAATCTACAAGTAACCAAGGGAACACCAAGGTATCTAACAGGCAATACTCCACGTTTAAACCTTGTTTCTTGTGAAATCATTTCTAACTCGTTTCTCTGTATTCCTGTGCTAAAAATTTCAGTTTTTTGCACTATTAAGCTGAAGGCCAGAGAATGAGCAAAAAAGCTGCAATATATTTTAAACACCATATATAGAGTCTTTAGTGCCCTTTGTAAATATAAGCGAGTCGTTAGTGAAACACAAATGCATCAGGCTAATTTTCTTGCGTTTTGGATGATAAGCGAAAATCCCCGTAGATAGCCGTAGTGTCCTACAACCAGGATAACACATTCATAGCAATTACGAAAAAATAAGGTGACATTGAATCTCTGTCTAACTTCTTTTTGCCCTAGGGAAGTAATCAACCAATCCTCCATTGATAGTTGAAGAATACCTTGGTGTTGTGAGGTAGCACTGCACCCACTTCATAAATCTCCTTGGGAATCCCATAGCTAATAGAACTGATAGCACGAAATCCTAGCTTAGAGAATCAAACGCATTTTTAGGTCTATCTTTATAGCACATCTTGGGGATAAAATTGTTCTGTTGTATCCTCTGACCAGTTCTTGCGCCAAAAAGGACATTGTCAGTGATGCTTCCACCTTTGATGAAGGCGCTCTAACTATTGCTAATAAGATATGGCAAGTGCTGTTGCAACCTGCTAGCCAAGATTAGAGTGATGCATTTGTATATTACTATGCAGCAAGAAATAGGCCTGTAGTCAGATATGCTCGCAAGGGACTGGTTCTTTGAAACCAAGGCTATTATGGTTGAATTGAATGCTGTCAATATTTCTTCATGCTAGAAAAATTCAAGAATAGTTTCGATTACATCCTCACCTACAATGTTTCAAGATGTTTTGAAAAAATGATCATTAAACCCATCAGGACCTCGAGCCTTTTCACTGTGTTGGGAAAAACATAGCATTCAGAATTTCATTTCTGCTGACGCTTTGAGCTGATTGATCTCGACCTTCGTCTAACAAGGAACTTTTCAAAATTTCTGTAAGTAATTCCTTTGGGCCGTCTTTACCTAAATATCCACTGTGCTCAATAAGTTCTCAAAGAACCCCACAACTTCTCAGATATTAGGGAGAGCGTATCCAGCCTATTGCCCTCACTGTCATACAGTCACCTGATCAAAATGTTGTTTCTAGCAAATAACTTTTTTTGCAATGTATTTAGATACCCCAACCTGTCTGGCTTTTAATTGTTTGGTTAATGAAAATAAAATATAAAAAAAAGGAAAAAAATCAAGTGATTGAGTTTGTGTGAAATTGTTTGATTGGATTGTAAAGTTTGAGTTGAATTTAAGATTTGAAGTCATAATTTAAAGGAAATTAGAATTACTTTTAGGTATAGGGTTCTTTGGATTATAACCATATAAATACACACACAGATAGGAAAGAAAAGATACAGAGAGAGACACATAGCACACAAAGGAAGCTAGAGAGTAGAATAATTTTTGGAGATTTTTTGGGTTAAAAAAAGATTTTTTTTTTAAAATTTTTTTTAGAAAATTTTCAGTTTTCATTTGAATTTTTTGGTGATTTTTGAAGATTCTGACGGTTTTTTGGTGAGTTTCTCAATTTTCAGCATTAGTTTCTCAGAAAATTGATGAACTTCCAGTGAACTGTCGATGAACCAACCCAGATTCTCACAAGATTTTTTAGAATCTGGTGAAGATTTAACCGGTATTCTTATTTCTAGAGAAAGGGAGAGAAAAGAAAAGAGGAGAGAGAGAAGAATAAGAGAAATTTGAAGGAAAATAGGGAATTTAGCTTTTTATATGCCTAGTAAAATGATGTCGTTTTGGAATTAAATGGCTTCGGGATCCGTGTGTTTCTGTTCAAGTCAACCTGACTTGTAGCACTTGACTCATTTTCGACCCGCGTCTCTATCCTTGGCTCGAGCCGAGTTGAGCCGTGAGCTGAACTGTTCTAGCTGCTTCCCCTTTTTGCAGCCGAGCCATTCCAGCCACCAAGCCGAGCCGTTTTGGTATTTTTTTTATTTTAGTATTTTATTTATTCATTTATTTATTTTATTTTAAAAGTATTTTTGTATGATTAAATTTTAGAAAAAATT